AGCACATCTGCGCACGACGATTCTATGTACATCAGTAAAGGGAATTGCCAGAGAAATTCCAGAGAATCTAATAGAATACCTTGGCCTTCATCGGTTAAGTTGATAGCTACATACGGTATTTCCCGAGTCGTAAGTGTCCTCTGTTGACGTGACGAAGGCACTGACTAACTTCTAGAAGAATTAGCATGAGAACGATCGTCAGGCTCCTGTCTGACTTTAGAATCTAGAAAAGTGAAGTCCCATCTTATTTATGAATGAACAAGAAGAAAAAGGTATACAGTTTGCATACGGTCGGATTTCCTGTGAATACGAGAGGCATATGGTGCGAAGACTAACCGGAACATTTCGTAGATTAGCGACAGAAAAAAGCATAAATGTAAGTTTTGACCGCTCGAAGGGGGGTGTGTAGAGCCATTGAATAAGTCGTCGCAGTGAATTTCGATCCTCGAAGCGGTGCCAATAAGATATCATGAGTATAAAAACTCCCGGTTGAATTTAAGACACTTCACCTTTTCTCTCTTTCCAGAGCAGTCGATATACTGGTGCCTTACTAGTCACGGTAGAAGTAAAAAAGGTAAGCCCTAACGATCCCATACTGCTGATAACTACGTGAAGTACTCTGACCTTGCTTTACACCACTTCCCCTTCGTTGCAACCCATGGCACTTCTAATGGCTGACAAAGTACCCATTTGCCTGCTTCGGGTGAAAGCTGACTGTTCAAGGAATGTGGGTCGACTATTCTTTTAATTTCTGCATTCATTTGTCGACTCATCATCCTACTGTCGTGATATTTCAACTCATAACACAACAGGGCGAACGTTTTTGTCAGTGGCCAGGCAGTCCCCGTGCGCTCTTGAAGCATATCCGAAAGATTGATAGATTTCGTGACAGTTCGATATTTCAATCCAAGGCCTGCCTGCTGGACGTATAGTCTTCGAACTATACGATGACATCGTGCCCCGGACAGCCAAGAACTTCCGCGAGTTGGCGACTAGTGAACATGGATTCGGTTACGCGGGCAGCACCTTTCATCGCATCCTCCCCAAAGTATTTTCATTCCTGTAGGCCAGCTTCCTTCATTCGACTCACAAGTCTGTGTTAGTTCATGATACAGGGAGGCGATTTCACAGCGCATAATGGGACCGGCGGCCACTCGATTTATGGACGCGGGTGGTTTGCTGGTACGCATTGTTTCCTGTAGAGCTCGTTATTGATGAGAGACTTTCACCCTTCAGACGAAAACTTCCGATGCTCCCACTCAGAGTCTGGTCTTCTTTCGATGGCTAACTCTGGGCCTAATACAAATGGATCACAGGTTTGCCTTATATTTCCCGGATACTCGTACCACTGCCTAGCTCATTGGGAGATTTCATTTTACTCCGCTTCTCGAACCGTCGACAGTTTTTCATTACCACAGTCGCAACGAGATGGGTAAGTGCCCCCACGATTCCGGAATAAAATAAGAGATAAATGAAATGTTATCTATTTAGTTGGATGGGCGCCATGTCGTGTTTGGGGAAGTTGTTGAGGGTATGGATATCGTCAAGTTGATTGAATCGCAAGGCTCAACCAGTGGCCATCCGGTTCGTCGGGTCACGATAACTCAGTGTGGAACTATTTAGACGTTAGAAAGTCGCTCAAAACTTTTGGCGTCGTAAAGGATACTTACTATATCATATTTTGAAAGGCTCGAGATTCTGAATCTACGTTATGCACATTTTCCTATCATTTTTTCTTTTACACAGGTTGCAGTACACCAGACGATACTCTTTTGGAATTTACTGTTTAGGAGATAATCAGTTGCCTGCTAATCGTGTGTACACTTTCGCGGGTTGCCACTAAACTCCGACACATTAGTGCTTAAAATTAGCATAGATCAGCATAGAGAAACACGATCGATGTACGTGTATTTATACAGATATACTTCGCTGCATACATTATTATCCTATGCTGAAGAGGGACTCATATTCAAATCATTCGATAAGTGTCATTCAGGAGGGTAATCTTGAGCCTGGAATGTGGCTCAAGGGAACGCGCATTCCCGAGTTGCACTTCTCAGGAGATCCGTAAAAGTGAATCCTTTGGATTACTTTTTAAAATATTACTTTGGATGACCTTGCATCGGCAATAGGCAATGACCCTCAATTACCTCGGTAAGTCTTGGTCTCATTCATGCCGAAGAATGAAAAAAATACAGTCGTGGTATGTTTCTGCCACGCCACAGAAGCGACGCCACTGCACAGTCGGGGTTAAATCGCTATTTGCAGGTATCGCCTGGACATTGGTCGATTAATCGATCTGTCGGGGATCCTGAGAATCATTTAATCAGGGCCGGCAAAAGAGTCATAGGCATCGTAAAGAGATCAGGCAAATTTGAAGGTGAAGCTGGAAAGCCACGGTCAAGCAGGCGTCATGAATAAAATATACACTAGAATCGTGCAGCTTGTATTCATGATCTCCTAGACTAACCATGGCTGAACATTTGAAATGGACATCAAGATTTGCGTCAACTAATCCTACTATAGATGACGATATGAGATAAACATTGTCAAGTGCACCTACATTCAGAAAGCTCAATGACGGCAAGAGTAGTCATGCTAGTGATGACGGCAGTTTAACTATCTCCAACCTATACTTTTCAGCTTTCATGGGCAGAACTTCGGTTCTATTGGCCGATATACGTACTTCAACCCTACTGAAGATATCATTATTAGATGACTTTCGAGAGTTAAGGGACCACCGACCAGAGGGGAGAGCACGCGTGGTTTAGAAAGCGTTTTGTTCAAAGGATGCAGACAGAGAGACCGTACGATATGGAGGGCGTCGATGAATTTTTCTAGTGTATCGTGTATTGAGAGACCCAGTAATATTGGACGGTCATTGAGAGCCAACGGCTCGGATTATATGTTTCCGGAGTTAGTGTATCTTGAGGCCGATGTCATAGTACGGTCTCTTTTCTATATCCCTGCTGATGGTTCGCAACCGCCGAATTCGGAAGCGCATTCAAATGTCACTGAGGAAATTCGCGCTGACGCAAAGGCTTTAGAGAACCTGGTAATGGACACGAAGATTTCATGGGCCAACGGCATAAAAAGAAACATTTTTTATCGCCTGCTTCCTCTATACATATACACCTTCCATAAGGCCGGCCTATGATATGAAAGAAACCATGATTCGAGGATTTTTCGCGAACCGCAAGGGCGACATGTATTTGCCTTCATCATACAGCGGCGGTCTTATTTTTCGGGTCTGACTCTTGCGTCGGGTCGAGAGTTATCTGTAAACAGTCAACACTCGTAGAGACATATCGACAATGAGAAGTCAGCCGCACCTGTTCACCACCTTTTCCATTCTCCCAGACCTGGTATCTTAGGGCAGTAAGGCCTCTTTTCTCCGCCGCCAGCCGCTGAGTTTCCTTCAGTGATTTACGCACTGCACCGGCAGTAATCTGGCTGTATTTGTTGAAGCTGAAGAAAAAGTGATTCAGCACAGAAACTTTGGCACGCTTTGAATAGAGCATACGTGAAAGTACTTCTCCAGGTAGCAGCGCTCATTGCTTTAAACGACAATGGTGAAAGTTGAAGACAAGGAAGGAAGTACGCGTAGCGCCCGTGGGCGCTAGAACCGACCTAATACCATGCCGGATACAGGCCACCTGCAATCGGGGCCACAATCAATATTTGCAGATAACCTGGTCCAAAAGTTTCTCATATCTTATGTACCAATGACAATCCTCCATCACACTTCGAGGCTTAGGTTTTCTTGGTTGATTTGAGTTAATGGGAAGGTCTTCGGGTTTTTTTCAAGTAAAGTTCATGAAAAGATTACCAGGTGTGTTTTTCAAGAGATATGCAGACGACTACTAAACCATCGAATTCAAGATACTTGTGGACCACTACATAGTCTCTCTTGGAGTTCATGGCGGAGAAATTATTGAAAACCTCGGTAACGCCGCAGGAAATTTGGAAAAATAAACGTTCATGCTTCACTTGTGTTCATCCCAACTCCATACAATCTATGTCGAGATAGTGACTTCTCTAGACACACATTCCTGGCACCATATGCTACTCGTCACATCGACCCACCACCCACCGATATGGCTATCCTTACGACGGGTCAAATCAAGATTGAGAGGTCCTTTTAGACAAAAATTCACATAGTTGGTTTATTTCGAAGGTGAGGGTTGTGTCCAGATGTCTTCGAAGACATCTTCCCTTATCTTTTCTATAAGCTTGACACTATTATTGGCCTCTTCATCCCCGAGATCGATCTGATCCTCACTCTTGACCATACAGATAGTGGGTTTCAAGGGATCGAGGAGGGAACTGTCGGAAAAATCATTTGTTCAGGGGATTGTGAGTCAGCTTCTCCCGAAGTCCTCGAGAGTTAAAGGCCTAAGGAACGGTTCAACTTTGAACCAACACTGCGGCTTTGCTAGTCTCAGGCTCGCTGTCTTGCTGACACCGATATGGCATTGGTCCTTCGGGCTACTGCCTAAGGGACCAAGAGAAAATTTATGATACGCAACAAGGATATGCCTTGAAGGTGATCGAGTTCATTTATGGGCTCTGACACTGCAACGCACCAGCAAAATTAGTTCAGGTTGTTTGGTTGATTGAATATTCTGTGAAAGCCGTACTGTTCAGGCGCTATAGCCAAGTGGTTACGGCGACAGATTAGAATCTTAGTGACTCTATCTGTTCCTCTTTGAGGGCGCAGGTTCAAATCCTGCTGGTGTCGTTATTTGAGATCAAGATTTATTTTTTCCTTGCTCTTAGACCAGAATTGTGTGATCGATCATTCCTGTTGAACTGCAATCTGCTCTTCCTCTTCATGCTGTTTACCCGTATCATTCATGCCGATACCAGAATATGTTACTGTGATGAAGTCAACTATAATTAAATTTTCTTCAAACATCAACTTCTGTTTATATATCCTGCTTCAATCTATGCCCTCTGCATGAACTTGTGGGATTATTTCTCCCAGATTTATTTGTTCTGGTGAGATGGCTGAGTGGTCTAAGGCACCAGGCTAAGGAAGTTAGTTCATGTGGTGTGTGTGAAGATCTGGTCATGTTGTGGCATGGGTTCAAATCCCACTCTTATCATGATTTTTTCCATTCTCTTCTGTTCTCATTTTCGAATATTTCTCAATTATCATCTGCCTCATATGTGGAATAACAGAACCTACAAATGTTTGATACCTTGCAACATTGTCTTTTCTGTTGGAACAACTCCATATGTACATACAAGAAGCTCTACCACTTTGACACTTGATTACACTGACTGCACCATACATGTATATGCCATGCTTACAATAAACTATATAGTACTAATTATATCATGCACCACAGAGATACAATGTCATGCCCTGACCCATTTGCTGCCTCTTCCTACAAAGCCCCAGAACCTCCCCTTTCCTCCCAAAGAACCTCTGAACCCCTTGGACACCTCCCCTCAGGACCTTTCTTGTCAGCTCCATGCTTACAACAGTGTCTATACTGGTTACTGATTCATACTGCGAGGACACAGGACCTCCCGATGGGCAAATGACACCACTAGCTCCATTTGTACCTAATCTAGATCACGATCACTACCCTATGCTCAATTGATCCCCCAATGCTCCCTTGTTAACTTTCCTGTACCTATTTAAACAGCTCTGTAACGTCCAAATCACCAGCTTGGTATATTTTGAACACACACCCTTTTGCATAGGTCCAGTCGCTGTCCCTTTGTACTTGCTAACCATACAGATTTTCCTTTACTCTCTGTTTCTTTATCTCAATCTCTCTACTTCTGTTTCTCATCTCAACAATTGTCTACGCAATCCAATATACACTTTTACTTCACATCTAAGCAATCCGAGTGAGCCTTCAACCTCCCTCAACCAATACTAAAGCTCCCCAAATTTCTATCATTTTGGTGAGCCAACCTTCCCCAAGCCTCCTCAAGCTCACTACTTGCTCCACGAGCTCTGGAACCTTGATCATGGTAATGTTGAAGCTTCCCATCATGTCCACCCACATATCGCTTCTCCGTTACCACCTCCACTGCTTGAGGATACCAACCACTACCTCGCTTCCTGGGACCTCCTTCCCGGGCTCACATTCTACTGGGAGCTCTCATGTCTGAAGCTCACACCATCTTTTAGCTATAACGATCCTGTGTTGACGTTCCTAACTACTACAATTTGTACTACGCAACAATCCTATGTCTCCTAGCTCCTGGTTACCTCTATCTTCACCAGTTATTGTCCTAGGGACGTCCCTGGACCTTCCAGGAACTCATTCAAGGGTCACATCTCGTAACCAGAACTACTACTAGGTCATTCCTGTTCTCAGTCACAGTTCCCGTAGCTCCCTTTGAGCTCCAGCTTGCTCCTAGCATGCTACAATGTAAACCTTTCATACCAGATCTATCCTTAAGATGAATTCTGACCCAGGTCTTACACACAAGCTCCCTCAGTTGTTCCAATATCAGCTGAGGTGAGCTCACAAGTACATTTAGTTGTGCCTATACTAACTACATTATAGCTAAACTATATGCTAACAGGTACCTACACAATCCCAGTTGTTCCAATATCAACTGAGCTCAACTATATGCTAATATTTTCAACTTTGTATATTATCTCATAGATATTGAAATCATAAGAGATGCTGGTGCACTAGAAGGATGGATATCTTGAGTTAATCTGTCATGATTCTGTTCTTTTGAAAGACCCCAAGAACTGTGAGGCCTGCTTTCATCCTACCTGGACTGGGCCCAAGCAAGTGGGACAACTGTCTAGGCCATACAAGGGGAAATAGGATAAGTGCCACTACTGGTGTGGGGAGCCTGACCAGTGGTGGTGGTTGTGGAGCTTGGGTGGAGTGTGAGTGAAGAGGTGTAGTTGGTGAGGGTGAAGGTAGTTGGAGGTGTGGAGCCTCAACATAAGGTACCAAGCCAGGTGGATGAGTTTCCAGGTAAGATTTGACAATAATGCACTGGGGAACTCTGAGAGGAGTCCCCAGCTCATATACTATACATATGACAGCCATGTGGCATATTAGATAATGGTAAAAGTGGACAAGAGGAGCTCTGGGTAACTAGTAGGGAGATTACGAGGCTGTAGTTTACGGAAGTATTGTCCTTATATACGCTGCTCCATACAATTTTCATTTCCTTTTATGGTAGTAGTTTCACCTTATTTGGCCAAATGTAACACTGAGTTGAATTGTATTGATTTTCTTGCAACCGGCACAGGATATCACTGGACTGTGACCCTATGTCACGATTACTTTCTCTCGTCTCACTTGTTTACTCCCTGTTACTCCATAAATAGTTTATGTACTAGTGGACCCCTGCGGGGTATGAACAACCTTGCTTGCTGTAAGTTGTAGTTCAACATTATCAAGTGGACCTCAGTTGATGGGCACATTGGCCCTCTTGTATGGAAAAACTATGGATTTATCTATCAGCGCCCATTCCTGAATCCTATCGTGGTTGAATAATCACAAATTCGTATCAAATGACTGAACACAAGAGATGGTCAAAAGAGAAAACAAAGAAGCATATACAGTACTCTATGGAATAGTGGCAGATGTGAAACATTGATATCCAGATAACTCCATGCCATTACCATTGACAGAGGTTGACAGCATTAACAGAGGTATGCAGCGACGTGCAAGCTCCTGGTTATGAGTACATCTTCAAAAGGATCAAATCCACAATGTTATCAGCCTTCCTGGACAGAACACAGTTGTAGATAGAAGTAGGAGGAAGAGTACTCCGCCTGGTGAAACAGATGAAGCTGGGCAAAATAAGTGGGGATGTGGTTTGCAGATCAAATAGCCAATGTGTACTGCCACTGAATTGGAGTGGAATCCAGAGGTTGTTGGACAACTTAGCAAAGATGCGAAATTTGACACAATTGATCATTACAATATTGCTGTTGGAAATGATCACAAGGATATCGCAGATGGAGAATTTGCGAGAGTTGACATTACAGCAAGTTTGTATCATCGAGACACAAAAAGAAAGCAGCAAAAGAGTCATACACCTCCAACATCTTCGACTACTTGATACTTGTTGGCATGACATTAATAAGCAAAGCCGTTTAATATGTGCATACAAGAACCTGAAAACACTTCAGTTCAATTGGAATGGAAGTAGGATACAAGGGGTAGAAAGAGGGGAGATGTGGTGGAATGAAACTTGTGTAAGTATACAGGTATTTTCAAGATGTAGCGCATAGTCAAGAGCAGGAGCTGAACTTGAGAGCAAATGACAAACATTCCTGGATGTGATACAAACATTCAAGGCAGCAAAGGTATTGAATATTGAAGGATAGTTACCAGTATTCAAAGATGGAGACACAAGTAGGGAATGGTTATTGGATGCAATAATGAAGTTCACGGGCCCTGCGCAGTTTTCGAAGTTTAGTCACCATCTTCTGAATCTACAAATGATAAAGTTATTGGATTACGGGTTGGTCAGACGAGAAGTGGATGAATTCGACTTACAGGTGGTGAAGATGAACAAATTGGAGGTAAATGTCTATGCAAGTGAAATGGAGATGCTCTGTATGATGTTGGCGGTGATGAAGGATGTACGAGAGTTGAAGGTACATTTCTGTGATGATGTGAACAAACCGGTAAGGAGAAACATCTCTGCAATTAGAAGAGGAAAAGCTGATGAGTTAGTAAGGATGAAGTATTGTGGAGTATAGCAGACATGTTAGACTTTAACCCACTGATTGAACAACTATGGATAACTGCTGATGACCCTTTTGTAACTGATATAAAGTACAACCATTTCAGGACATTCAAGCTACTTTGCATAGATTGAAAAGAAATTGGCATTGAAGACCAACAATGGAAAACCAATCAAGGTTATTGGAGTGAGAAGATGGATTGAGACCAAGTTATAGTCATTATTACAAAGAACATAGAGGTTGGAAAATGATAGCATGAGGAAAAAGTTTGTTTTGAAAATCCGTAATTGAACAAGAATGATGGCAGTGGATGAGGGCTACCCAAGTCTCGAATGCAAACTGAATAGACAATATCTGTATAATGCCTACATAGGGGTTCGAAATAGTGAACAGCACCTAACATGGGAACACAATGCATGGGTGCTTGGTAAAGACGGGGTGGCAAAGGACCTAGCAAGCAAGGTGAATTTTACTTTTTTTTTTTTTTAGCTTTTCTCAAAAAATCAATGTTGGCACCTAAAAGGTGCCCCCGTTTTATTAATTCCATAATATTTAATAACCCTCGAGGAAGGAGCCGAGTTTTTGCCATGCATGGTGGTGCAGTGGCCTACAATCGCATGTATAGGAAGGTAGTGAGGATGAATATGATAGGCAAGGAAGCAGAATCAGGCAAGGCATGCTCTCAGATATAAACATAACTGGTGCTTGCCTCCCTACTCCTATGCATTGCTAATTGCACTGCCTTTTGTTCCTCTGGCTTACTGTCATGAAGTATATAGCCCCTATCATTTTCCTTTTCTCACCCTCTTGACACCTTGACTTGTATGATACCCCATCTCATCATCATCACATTACATCACTGTCAAACCCCCCATCGATTACTGATCCATCTGACCCCCTTCATTGATTACTGATCCACCTGTTACCCTTCTCCTTCTACCGGCTTCTGCCACCTTCTTCATCCTTGAACTGTACAGTATTACATTGTTATTTCTCACAGATTGGATTATGTATATAAAGCCAACCCCCACAGCCTGGTCCCTTATCTTGACCTCTCTGTCATTATCTTGGGACCAGGTATGTGCTTACTTACTAGTACTTATGACTACAATACTAATATATCTCTGTCATTATCTTGGGACCAGTCTGTCTATGCTCTGTTCAGTTGCTCCGCTTTTACAGCTTGCTCAGTTGCTCCGCCACTCTGCTAATGAGCTTGCCTCGTTTTTGCGTGAAAGAGAAAGGAAGGAATCAAATGTGCACTCCAACCAACCAATCTAATACACAATATGCAAGTTCACAGCTATCAAATTTATTTAAGAGCATGGGGTAGCATTGTTGAAGGTTCCACAAAACTTTTGAGAGCTAAGGAAAAAGCTTCGATCAATTAATTTGAATTGACCTAAGGATTTGATA